CCCCAAATTAGAGAGATTAGTGATGTTCCCACTGCATAAAAGTCAGTGTCACCATTATTTAGTCCTTGTTATGAGGTAGGCATTTTATATTCAGTGTATTAGTGATCTTCATTACAGTGCTCTCGAGAGCTATGATTATCCCTATTTTACTGAAAAGGAAATTAAGATTGAAGTGACTTATCCAGGGTCACATAATAAGTGGTTAAGCTGGGATTTAAACCATAGTCTTGACTTTCTCATCTTAAGATCCTTCCAGGGCAAAGGAAGAGGAATCAATGTAGATAGCAGGGGCATGTCTGAGAGGAAGAGGGCAAGTCAGAGAGGTTTAGGACAGTTGAAGCTGTGGGAACTTCAGAATGAAGACATGGCCAGTCGTAGGAGATGCAGCAGGAAGTCTAGATAGAGCAAGAAAAATAGACCAGGCTTTTAAGTGTCTGTTTGTAATCTCCAATAAGATGGAAGCAAGATTTAACTCTTAAAAGTGAAGAAATATTCAGAAAATAGTGACAATACTTTAAAAAGCTTTACTTTCTGAGGCTGGAAATTATTAAATAAACTAACAAAAACTCCATGAATAAATTAACAAGAAAATCACCCCCATAACAGTGAGCATCTTAGTCAGCATGCACCAAGTAAAGTAACACTAACAGTCTTCAAACCTTGCTGGCTTAACAGAGCAAAAATTCTGCTCTTTGGCTGGCATTCCCCCCTTGTCCCCTCAACTCTGGGACCCACACTGCTGGGAAATCTACCTTCTTACATGCTAACAGTAGATAGAAAGGGAGCTCAGGGCAGTCTTGCATTGGTAGTATTCTAGTGGAAGTGACAAATGACCCTGCCACTCAGAACTCTTTGCTCAGATCTAGCCACATGGCTCCACCTAATTGCAGAGACACAAACCAGATATGGGCAGGTGGTAGCTAATGATTCGTATAGCATGGATCTGGAAAAGGGTGATAATATCCAGAGTTCTCTTTTTCCAAGTTAAAGCTTTATTTTATTTTATTTTTGTACTTGAAGAGAAGAAGGGGAAAAGCCAGTTGATAGAGGCAGGTAAGATTTTAATATTAAAAAAACATGCAAAAGTGACAATGGAGTCTTTACTGGAAGAAACATGATAGGGAACACAGGAAAAAGGATACGCTGGAGAATGGGCAAGTCATCCCAACTTGAGGTGACTTTGAGTGAGATGTTTGCAAAGGGAAATATGAGAGTGAAGAGAGAGAGGAAGCCTGGAACAGTCCCTGTGAGAAATGGACTAGATAGACCTAGTTATGCCTCATAAATCCATCCAGGGCCATTCTGAACAACCGAAGCTGAAAGCGGAACCCAAAAGGACAAAGGAAATCATGATTCTAGATGGCATTTGAAATAGTACTTTATTCCCTTTCTTAGAAAAAAGAAATTATGTGGTTTCCTTCATGTATAGGAAAAAATGACAACCCTGCAGCTTATGGTATTGCTGTCCATGTGTATAAATGTTTTTAAAAATGAACAATTCATGGGTACGAGCATTTTCCTCATTGAGGGCCCCACTCATTTTCACTAGGCTGTCTGCTTGTGTGAGAATGAAAAAGCAAGTCATCCGTGTCTTGGTGTATGTAGACAGAGCAAGAACTATAACTCAGTTTTCCAAGAAAATGAATTCTATTCCAAAAGTTGATTAGAAAATTCCCACAGAGGAGTTTAATCAATGCCTGGGAAGACATCATTGTTTTTCCAGAGTCAGGGAAAGCACAAAGGTAATTTGCTACATATATTACTCAAGACTCTTTAAAGTTTCAAGTATCTGCATCTAAAAATTCAAAACTCATCAGGAGTCAGTCGTCCTCTTTATAGCCCCCCTTCTCTCTTCATATCTTTCATATTCTCTCTGTCTACTTAGCCTACCTCTCTTTTTCTGTTCCCTTCTGAGATCTTTCTATTCTTTTGCCTTTGTTCTCATGTTCCTTAAAATGGTAACAAGATGTTGTCCACCCTCATCTCCATGTGTACGTTCTCTAAACTTTAACTGAAAAGAAAAATAAAAATATTAAAAATATTTCTCCCCCCAGAAATTCAAAAAAATTTCCTCAGGTGTGTTTTGCTGGCTCTGATTGGCTGGATTAGGGCACGTGACCATCCTGTGAGGCCTGCTGCCCAGGCAAGTCCACATCCATGCTCCCTGCAGCTATGGAGAGGTGGAGGGTTGGGAGACCATTCCAAGGAGAATTAGAGCATTAGCAAACAGAGGCTGCTTGGGCCAAAACAGTGTTTACTATCTTCAAAAAATGTAAAGTATAATTTCTATACTTTCATATTATGTATATATAATTCTATATTCTATAAAGTTTTGGACTTAAAGGGATGATGTTTCTAAGAAAATGTCTCAAAGAAAATAACTGTGTCCATGGCTTTTTCAGTTCATCTCCTTTTCTTTAGGTGGCACTCTGAGTTAGGACTGTATTGAAAATCCAGAGGAAGGTACTAAGAAAAATAGCACAACCTAACATGAGCTAAAGTCAGAATATTTTCATTGATGGCTAACTAGAATTATTCTATAATTACTCCACCACAGCCCTGAAAGTGAGTCACTAAGAACTGAATATTTATAAGCTTTCTGACCTCAAAAAATTCAAAATCTTAAATGGGGTCACCTAAGGAGACTGTGGAAAACTTCCATGCAACTTTGGCAGATGATTTTAGTTCTTATTTCAACAAGCTTGGTATGAAATGCATGCCATCTGGTTACTGGGAAAATTCTAGTGCATATTAACTGCTTGTGTGAGAGACATTCCTGCCATTTAGTTGTAAATGATTGCACCTGCAAATGAAAAATAACAAGAAAGAAAAAGAGCATGTCTTATCATTTGCTCCCAGGGCTGGAAGATTTGATGACACAATACTGCTATTTCATCCACTTTTAAAATCTGTGTCTGATCAGTACAGCTGTTCTACCACAACTATTTTGAATATGTTGTGCTGTATACTAGAACATAGGACTGTTGGGGGAAAATTTCAATGCAGTCAGTGAGGAATTTCCATCTCCTCAAGGCATTTCTGAGTATTTCAAGATAAAATGGCAGGTACTTCTTATTTTGATTTTATCTTTGTTAAATAAGTGTATTTCAAAGAAGAAAGTTTTATATCTCCCAGGTCTGACTCACCTGAGATGGTTAGCAGTTCTCTGCCTAAGATGAAGTCATGTAGATACAAGAGGAAAATCTCTCCATCCAGGTCCTTCTTCACTTTCCCAGAAAGACAGTAGTGGTTATCTAGTGATTATCTATGCATTTAGCCCCAAATTGAGAGATTCATGTGCTTTAAAAATTTAAAACTCTGTTACAAAGATGCAGCAATACTACATTGTAATTGCTTGGTGCATTCAACTTGTATTTTGTTTGTGATGCATTATGTTTTTCTCTCAACATTCAAAGCCAGCATAGACTAAAGGAGGTCTTGGTATAGCAGAAGGATGGTAGAATAGAGTTTATTAGATAGAGTTTATTCATAACATAGCTTTGTCACTGTATAATCCTTGGGAAGTTACTTGCATTCTGCAGCATTTAGCTTCTTAAAAGGGGATTAAAAATAATTATTCCCAGGGAGATGAGAAGTTTTAATGAAATATTATATGTGAAAGTGCTTGGCAAATAGATTGAATTAAATACATGTTAGCTAATACCGCTCCCCTCAAATCAAGCATTATAAAACAGCTCTATTGCTTTCAATCAATCTTCCCAAACTAATCTCATCTACCTGATGAATTTACAGCATATACAAATTACTCTCTGTTGAATGAGTATTATTTACAGAATGATATTACAAGCTCCTAGTGGGTGAGAAGCAGCCTTTCCTTTCCATTTGTGAGTTCTAGGCATTGAAAAAAGAATGAGTGTCTGTAACTAACAGTAGAATCCTAACAAGTAGACATCATTCTGTTACCCTCACACTTACAGAAACTTTCTAGGCAGTGTATTTAATGTATCTTTTATTTTTAATGGATCTTTCGTTATTACTGCCAGAGTTTGTCTCTTTGATCCAGCGAAGGGATCAGCTATCAATGTGCCTTCACCACAGAAAATACAGCCAAGTCTCAGGCACCCTGTTTACTGTGGTGACAAGCATACTTACTTAATACCACCAACCCTAGGGGGACATGGTACTCTATCTTCAGATATAGATGGACTGCTAATTATGGCATCTAAGTAAGAACTTGGGCCACAGTACTGGGCTGGGCAGCTGGGCTTGCAGCATACCCGATGAAGCCTTAAATCAAGATGTATGCCATGGGAATCCAAAGCAAATGATAAAACTTTTAAAAACCAGTAGCTATTTACCAAGAGAAAATAATAGTAAAGAATACAACAAAATAAAGAGGGATAATGGCTCTTGCCTATTACTCATCTTCAAAGAGCATCATGAAACTAAATAGTTTAATCCTTGCTTATTCTTCTGGATCATAATGATTTTGTTTTTCCAGAAAAAAAACCTTTAAACAGGCACATTACTAGAAAAAAGTAAATCAAAACCTCGCTATTGTATGGAAGAAATTAAAGATAATAATATTAATATATATTTTTGCTCTCTCTCAAATTTTCAGGAATTTTAATGTGTTTCTTAAACATTTAACTTTACTGTGCCAGATTCTAAATGGTGGGAATCTATTGTTTCCCTTAACACCATTTTACCAGCTGATATTCAGGATTAATAATATATTTCTTTTAAATCAATGTTTTATTTTCAAAATGTTTCATATTAATTATTAATATGTTTCATATTAAAAAATATATTTTAAAGACTTTCTTCTCTCTTGGCTAGAATTAGTTCAATTTACACTAATAATGTTTTGATTAAATGAATTTCTTTCTCACTGAATTCATGCGGTTTTAGAAAAATTGTTTAATAGCTCAATATGAAAGTTGTATTTTATTAATTGGAGCTGGGATTTGATTTCTTGCATATTAAATGTTGTTGCTACTGGAAACATTACTTAAATAATTTTTTGTTTTATTGCACAGGTTGGTTAAGGTCAAGGAGACTGAATCCCAGCTTAGATTTCAGAGATGAAAGAACATATCTGTTTTGGGCTAAAAGGTACCATGTGCATAAAGAAGTCTTCTTTCTGAGAACATACCACTTTGCTATTTTAAGATCTTTAATATTTTATGCATTGTGCATTTGTCAGATGAGAAGATACTTTTCCCCATGAAAAGTATTTTTATTGAAGATATTGTAGCTAAAAATAACAGCTTATGTTCCAGTTAGTAAAATTGACTAAAAATGTAATCTAAATATTATTATAAATCATAAATTAGAATTTTATTTTGATTTTTAATTTTATATCATGTTTGATGTTAAAATGACATTGAAATTAAATATATTGTAAAAATTCTTTAAAGTAAACACTATTTAATATTTAAGGCTGCTTTTAGTTCTTTGGTTGTCTGTGTTGTGTGTTTATTCTCTAATTCTTTGTAGAAATGTAGTTCCAAATTCTTATTTTAACCTTCACAAGCATTCAGTTCCCATTCTTAAATTTTACTCCAAGTTGAAGGCTTAGGACAGCAGATTGGGAAAAAAGACTAGTTGTGGCAAAGAGAAAGATGAGGAAAGAAAAGAAAGGAAAAGCTTTGCTTTGTTCTCCACTCATCCTTTCGTGGCTAGTGTATTGCATCACCTCCTCTGTAGCTTCTAAACCCCTGGAACAAGACAGGGTGGACATTGTGTGACTTAGACTACTGAATTGGCCCTCTTTTATTCTCTGAGGGCAGACAGCACAGCAATAAGAACGCTTTTAGAAAACACACACAAGCACAAGGCTGGATGGCTTCTTGGGTTCTTGGTGTAGGGTTGGGTGAGAGACTATGGATGGTTAGGAGAAAAATATAGAGAACTAGAGGAAGAGGAAGGAACTGGAGAATCACACAGAAAGTGTATCCTGGGAACCCACAAATGCCACTTCCTTGAGTACTTGTTCTGTCTTCAACCTTCTATGTCTTCCATACCCTCATCTATCTCATTCCCCATCTTTATTAATAAAGTAGTGCCCTAAGCCAGGAAAGTCAGAGTTCCTGGCTCCTATGGTTGAAAGAGGGGTAAACACGACAGATAGAACCATTATTTGCAGAAATGATTTCATGTGGAAAGTTCTTATGGTTTTGTCACCCGAACATAACTCAAGAGCAAAACTCTATCTCAGGAACTGGGTGTATATTGCTATCATTTTACCTGGAATGGACTTAGGCACTTCACTTTCATTAACCTGTTTCTGTCTGACTGGACATATTCTTAGTTTAGTTCCCACATGACCCTACTTGCAACTATCTTGGTCAATCTATATTGACTTTAGCACTATTAGTAATGGCTTAGTACTCATGACACCAGTGATACCAACAGATAATCTCAAGTGTGACGATCTAAAGATGTGGTCCTTAATGGTAAAACATCAAGACAGCCTCCTCTACCTTGATCCAGGTGTTCTTCTTCCATTAACATTGTCTTCTGTGCTATTTGTTACAGACAAGAAACAAAACTGTTTAGCATGTCATTGAAGATCTTTCATGTTTACTTTTTCAGCTTTATTCACATCACTCCCTACCTTAAACTGAAAAAATTTGCAGAACTCTGACTGTATCTGTCCCTCCCACTTCTGGGCTTTTGTATATACAGTTGTCCTTGCTTCTGGGCCCCATTTATCATACTTAATTACCTGGCTAAATCTTACTCTTCAGACTAACTTAGATCTACTTCATTTTAGAAGCTGATGAACTGATTCTCACAAGAATACGATAAACATTATTCTTGAGGCTCCTGTTGTACACGCTAATAAGCCTGTTCTGTTGTGGCACTTCACAATCTGGTTTTCTTATTCCTCCTTCCTTGACTATGCATTTCCTAGGGCAGGTGTTGTCCAGTCTCTGGCAGTTAGGTATTTGTATTGTGATTGAAACTGGCTTTGTCTAGGCATCAACTGGTAGAAAAGTATAACTTCATCCATGATTCCAACTCTAAACAAATGGTTTTTATTTTGAAGAAGAAAAAGAATCTTTTAAGAGTTTTTCTTATATGATTACAGTCATTATGATGATGGGCAGAAAAAAAATAGACACAGAAAGAACAGAACTGAGTTCTTTTGGAATTATTTTTGCCCACATATGCTTTCTTTTCTTATAGTTTCCCATCCTATACTTCCTCGACTGTTAAATCAAAGACTTGAAGCAAAAAACTCAACTCAGTCCTTTGACATTTAATGATAAAAATTTTGAAACCTTAGGATGAATATTGTCCTATTTATCAATTTAATATCTTATTCAGTATTTGAGTTTCTCCCTATAAGATTTTTATTAAAACCTATGCTTTTAATTTACTAAATTTTGATCCAGTTTATTTAGTTCATGAAAAAATTTCAATGTGTTTATTTAAGAAAATGTTTTAAATAAATCATTAGTATTAGATACATTCCTTGAGATTACATGAATAAAACAAATCAAAACCTCCTTTCTTATGATAATATTTCAAGTATTTGAATACAACTATCATGTTTTAACTTGGGTTTCTCTACTTGCAAATAAATATGAGATTTAATTGTTGATTAGGCTCAGTGCCCTGTGAAAACTACTGTTATATATTCTCAAATTATTCTCTCAGTGCTTACCTTCATAGATATTTGCACTAGTACACCAGGAAGTGAAATACAATGATGTTCTAATTCTTTCTACTATATTTCTCTTAATTCATACCAAGAAATCACATTATCATTATGATTTTGGTATGTGCATCCTACAATTAACTGAAATCAGATTTTCTATATATCAAGTCATCTAATTTTCATATTGTCATGCTAAGTTACCTGATGTCATACTAAATTTTAAGTACAGAGATAAAGTTGTCAGTGTTTTAAAAAAGACACCTAGTGAACAGAAAAGCTGTCCACAAGTATTCACGTAGATTGTTTACATGCCCGATGAGGGATCTGTGTTTCATTTTCATGTACTTTGGTTATTGATTAGAGATTCTGATTCTTGTGTTTCCATACTGCAGTTTGATAGATCTTTTTAAAGTAAACACAGATATCTGGCCAAATTCATCTCTGCCTCATTGCTGACCAGATTTTGGCTTTTTGGCAAAGTCTCATCATCCTATCACCATCATCCAACATAGCAGTTACTATTTTCATCTTTGCTCTTAACCTGTCATCGTTTAAATTTTATAATGACTTTGCTTGGGGATAAGATAGGGTATGAAAAAGGAGCATGTCTTCCCTATCCTGAACTTGTACAGTTACATTTATTTTTAGTTTTTGGCCACAGTGAATTTTTTTTTATTTATTGCTATCAGATTTCTTCATATTACATTTAACCCCTCACCAGTCTATTCTGATGACAACATTTTTTATCTAATGTCTAACATATTTCATTCCATATATAATGCATTTTGGAGATTTAAATGAAAGAACCAAAGTGCAGGTTTATTTATCATCTTATCAAACATAGACTTAAATTCATTCTACCAAAACTTGTTCATTCTTCTTAGTGTGAAAGTCATTGTAGTTGACAGAGAAGTTCGAAGCAAAAGATTAAGAAGCTAAGTTTTTCTTTTATCACTCCTTATCAGAGACAAACAGCAAGCTGTGTTTTATATGAATACATTTTTGTTGTTGTTACCTCAGTATACCTTTATTTTCTTCAGAGAAATCAATCATTATATTTATCCTCCTTGCTTACTAGTTTATTGCCTTTATTTCCCACTTAAATGAAATTGATAAGAGTTAAAATTTTTATAAGACAGGGAAAATATTTTTCAAATGTTCTGATTTTTTTCTTTCCCCAGAGTCATCCATTTATTTCTGAATTCCCACAACATTATTCCAGTTTGTCACATTTGTGCATTGCACTGGGAAAATATTCTTAAATTTCTGCAACTGGCTTTGTACTTTGTAATATAAGCTAGAAATGCATTGTCTTTTTCCTTTTTCTGTTCTCAAATATTCCATGGAAAGTGCATCTACCTTTTGGTTCATGAATTTCAACTGTTCCCTTTTGATTGTTTTGCAGGACTTGTTGTGGTTGGAAATGAGACCTCTCCCTAAAGTTCCCCCAGAAGTTAACGCAGGAATATTCAGAGTTGAAGTGATTAGATATGAGAGTTGTAACCTAACCAGTCCATCTTACTTTGAATGGACCACCTGGGTGTTAACCTGGCTGGTGGAGGGGGCATGGCTGGAGAAGGTGGGTCACTGGAGGCATGCCCTATGGCCTTTTCCTCTTTCTTCTCTGCTTCCTTTCCACCCTGAGCAGAGCAGTGCTTCTCCACAGTGCCCTTTTGCCATGCTTTGTTCTGCCTCATCTTGGGTGGGAAGCAATGGAGTGGCAACCATGGATTGAACCTTGAAACTGGGAGCCAAAATAAACTTTGCTTCCTCTAAGTTGTTCTTGTCAGATATTTTGGTCACAGTGATGAAAGCTCACTAACAGGGCTACTATAATGCATCACCTATCACAAGTTAGTCTTGTTTGACTTAGGTTACATTCTTATCATTGCATGTTACTCAGAGGTCTAATTATATCAGGTCACAGTGAAAACCCTTGGTGTATTACTGTGTTGGACTTAAACTGCAAGGTATTTAAGTTTACTTTTTCATTAATATTCTTAATTTATTATTCACAACATGTATGTTGGTCTATAGATAGTAATAGTGTGTAAGTTGCACCTCCTGAAATTGTGCCTTCTTTTTTGCATTTTTTGAACAAAATTCTTCCAGAGTCTAGTGTGGGCATGCTTATCTGAGATGTTTTTTTCTTTCATTTTTCTTTCTTGGTAAAAACTTTGATGGAAGAAGGTAAAACATTAGTACTGATAAAGTGTCAAGTATTACCTCCTCACAGTGTTCTCAGTACCCCATTTACTTCATAAGTGTTGACTCGATCCTAGTTACTATATGGAAAATCCAAGAGGATATCAGGTGAGCTCACTGATTTTTCCTACTTTTTTCCTGCTGCCTTGCAGATGTTCTTCACTTAGGAGGCTTTTTGAGTTCTTCCTCTTGCTGCTGCTCCTGATGCTGATGGTTTGTTGTCAGGGCTGCTCTTCACTGGAACAGGTGATTGAAGTAATGTGACAGTTATGTTCATAGATAATCTATTGAGGTATATAATGTCCTTGAAATCCATACAAGGTATTGTATCTTTTAATAGTAATTATCTTCCAATTTCTATCTTATCGGTGTCTTCAATTTACATTCAATGTAAATGTTGATTGGTTAAGTGTGATTTTATTTTCTTGTTTTCTAATTTTTCTGTTTTTTTACTTCTCTATTTATTATATCTTTTCCATATTTTTGATTGGTGCATTATACTTGTACCTAATGGTAGGATTTGTTGTTACATATTCATACATGCATACAATATGACAATATAATTTGGTCAGTATGATTTTACAGTATTTCCATTTTCCCTTTCATTCCCTCCCTGTCCTGTCACTTTCCCCTATTTCCTGATTTCCCTTTAATTTTCATGAGATTCTCCCACTCCACCTTTCTTTTCTTTTTTTCTCTTTAGCTTCCACATATGAGAGAAAATATATCATCCTCAACATTCTGATATTGGCTTATTTTGCTTAACATAATGTTCTTAAGTTCCATCCATTTTCCTGAAATGACTTAATTTTATTTTTAATTATAGCTGAATAGAACTCCATTATGTATATATACCACATTTTCTTTAGTCATTCATCTATTGATGGACATCTAGGCTGGTTCCATAGTTTGGCTATAGTGAATTGTGCTACTGTAAACAAGGGTATGCATGCATTGCTATAAAAAATGACTTTAATTCTTTAGGATAAATACTGAGGAGTGGTGTAGCTGGGTCCAATAGTGGCTCCATGCCTAGTCTTTCAAGGAACCTCCATAATGATTTCCATAAAGTTTGTGGTAATTTACAATCCTACCAACAACGCAAATGTGTTCCTCTTTCTTCAAATCCTCTCTAGCATTTACTATTCTTTGTATTGATGGTTGCCATTCTGATTGGTATGAGATAGAATCTCAGTGCAGTTTTGATGAGCATTTCCCTAATTGCTAATGATGTTGAACATTTTTTCACTTATTTGTTGGCCATTTGTATTTCTTCTTTTGGAAAATGTCTGTTTAATTCATTTGGCCATCCATTAATTGTGTTTTTTTTAAGTGGTTTTTCAGTTCTTTATATATTCTAGATATTAATCCTCTGAAAAACAGTTAGCAAAGATTTTCACCCATTCTGTAGGTTCTTACTTCACATTCTTAATTGTTTCCTTTGCTGTGCAGAAACTTTTAAATTTGACTTCTTTCTACTTATTAACTCTTGGCATTTTTTTCTGAGCTTTAGGGATCCTATTGAGAAAGTTGTTGCCAGTGACTTGGAGTGTTGACCCTATGTTTTTTTCTAGGAATTGTATAGTTTCTGTTCTATAATTATTGATGTGTTAGGGATTAAATGTTTCATTTTATTTTCTTATTTTTGGTTTTTAATTCTCGATTTTCTTTATTCTGTTTTTCGGTGGATTAATTACAGGTTTGTATTTTGATTTATCTATTGTGGTTTTTTTTTATTGGTTGTTCAAAACATTACAAAGCCCATGACATATTATCTTTCATACATTTGACTCAAGTGGGTTATGAACTCCCATTTTTACCCCAAATACAAATTGCAGAATCACACATTCACATTTTTCCATATTGGCATATTAGTGACTGTTGTATTCTGCTACCTTTCCTATCCCTACTATCCCTCCTCCCCTCCCCTCCCACCTTCCCTCTCTACCTCATCTGCTGTTGTTCAATTCTCTTCCTTGTTTCTCCCCCCTTTCCCCTCACAACCTCTCATATGTAATTTTGTGTAACATTGAGGGTCTCCTACCATTTCCATATGATTTACCTTCTCTCTCCCTTTCTTTCCTCCCACTCGTCTCTGTTTAATGTTAATCTTTTCCTCATGCTCTTCCTCCCTGTTCTGTTCTTAGTTGCTCTCTTTATATCAAGGAAGACATTTGGCATTTGTTTTTTAAGGATTGGCTAGCATCGCTTAGCATAATCTGCTCTAAAGCCATCCATTTCCCTGAAAATTCTATGATTTTGTCATTTTTTAGTGCTGGGTAATACTCCATGGTGTATAAATGCCACATTTTTTTATCCATTCATCTATTGAAGGGCATCTAGGTTGGTTCCACA